AAATAAGTTTGCTCTTCTGTAGTTATTTTCTTCTGAAGATACCAGAATGACTTACAAACTTCACTTATTCAAACATTACAAATGGAAATAAAACTGCTCCTGGTGTGAAACTCTGAACTCCCTAAAATGGAATCAGGCAGGAAAATTATTCCCCAGTGGAAACAGAAATAGCAGTTAGGAGATATAGTCTTGACATACTTTTACACAAAGTGGTCAAGACCTCAATTTCACATTTTGCATTATGATTCACATTCAATAGCTTATTACCCCAAGTAGTTCCCTGTATCTTTAATTTAATGATAACCAAATACCAAAATGATGCTCCTGGAATAACTAGTACTATTTTGTACAGCATATTTCTTTACATATTTAGAATGCTTGATATGATTACAGTAGAAAGTGATATAACAAAGTGTTATTATATTGTGAAGGAAATCAAATCAAATTAACACCAATTTAATTTTCAATATGTGTCCACAATAAACTCTTAGAGTGAGTTAGCTCCACTAATTTAATGCCTAATTCAGATTAATTTCTGGTGATCGTGTAGGTAAACTCTTATTCAATAACAGTTGATTGACAGTCCAGTCTTCTCACATTGCGGAAAGTGTTTCAATAACAATTTAGAAACAGGGAAGATGTTCATTACAAATGTGACAGTTTGGTTATGTTTATGGTAAAGGTTAGGGAAGAATTGTTTTGGTTATTGATTAAAAAACCCACAGAAATTCTTATTTAAATGAATTCTAATTTAATTAATAAATAATTCTTATTTAAAAGTCAAAGTGAAAAGATACAGCTTTCTTAGAATTCTTCTCTGAACACAGAAAATGAGTTTGCCAAATATATGGGTTGAACCTGCAGCTTTGGAAAAAAAAAGTCTCAGCCAAAAAATACAACAATGTGCAGGTCCAGGTTGTGAAAGCAGTGCCCATAAGAATGAGCAAAGCTTGTACCTGCTACCTGCTTAATCTATTAACTGGATAGTTTAACTACGAAGCAGCAACAAGAGGATTATGCCCAGATTACTTTAAACCAATACTAAGTTCAAAAGTCATGGGCAATACAGAAGGAAGTGGATGAATTATATCAAAAGCTTCTTGGACTTTGAATAAGAAAAAGGCAGGAACTGAATGTATCAGCATGCAAAGCTTTGAAGTATGGTCAAGTCAGAGAGTAATAATTTTGTAATTTTAAACAATTTTGTTTTCCATTAAGGGGAACTTTCATCTTTTATTTTATCCACTCTGAAACAAGCTGTTTGTATCACAGTATCAGGCATTGCCCTTTTAGAAATGAAATTTTATCTGTCAGATATGACTTGGAATATTAGTATCTACCCACATTCTCACACCCCATACATACTGGCATTCTCAAAAGGATTTTATGTAGAAAATATTTTAAGCCACGCTTACACAGAACAAAGCAAAAATCAACTTGTATCTGTTCTGTGTGTAACATGGACTGATCTTAATGTTACTTTGAAGAACATCCATCACTTCCACATACTGCTTTCTCTGGACTTGCTGCAAACTCTTCTATAGCAAAACCAACAAATACAGACTATTGCTATCCAAAATCACATGGATCATAACATGTTGTGTCTAATGGACAAAGACATCCTGCGTTGAAAGGCTAAATTGGCATACTTCCATAGGCTGGTTTGGGTAAATCCTTGTATTCATCATGCTTTGCTATTAACATCTTTTAAGTTTTCTGTCCACTCAGCATTTTATATTTAATATTAAGAGACCTGAAGTAATTTACTTACACTTGTCTCCAAAAAGGCATGGTAAAGGGACTAAGTTGAAGATGGAGTTAAAAACAAACCAGGTACCTTTCATTTGCTATTCACCAGCATTTCTATTTAAGAGGTCTTTGCTGTATTTCAAAAAGGCAGTACTCTTGCAAGAATGTACAAAAAGACAACTTCACCTTCCTGCTTTTCTAAAATGTTTTCCCAAGGCAGCTGAAGGAAACCAGTAAAGATAGAAATATAATTGTTTTGATTTCAATAAAAGTAACCAATTTCACCTCTCAGGTCAGGTGTTACGGTGTGATAATGGCATTTAGATGCAGAATCATTTGTAAAGCAACAAGCATGTTTATAGCCTAAGGAACAGTGGTCCATCTCTTTAGCTGGCATAAATCAGCATAGTTTCACTGAAGCAAATGGAGTAACTCTGATTTACATAAGCCTAAGACATGGCTCTTTATTTTTCAGAACTACATTTTGTAATATCCTGAGGATACATTTTGAAATAAATAAATAAATAAATAATTCAAAGCCGTGTTATTCACCTGGCAAACTTGGCTTACATTGTTGAGCTAACACTTGAGCATACCCCTTACAGTAGGCAGGCACTGTCAGCTCACAATTTCACAGCAATATCAACAAATCTTCAGTTTGACTCAAGAATATTATGGAAACCATTTTCCCACCCCACATCTCTTATTGTGGAAGAAAATCAAATTGATACTTAACACAACAGTTTCTTACAAAGAAATTGGCCATTAGATTGACATCTCATGCTTGCAGAGAGCATGAGACTCAAAATCCTACTGTAATTAGTGTTTGATGAAGATGGAACACCCAAAGCAAGGCAAAAGTAAAGGAAAATAGAAGAGCTGTGCTACAAATAAAACTGGTTTATGCTGGTTATCAAGTGTTATAATTTAACAATACAAAAATTTTCTATACTAAACACCAGGATGTATGTGGGAGCCCTTGGTAACTCCCCTCAGGCCCTCTTGTATCCCATACTTTAAATTAAGGAGAGAGAAAAAATACATTGGTTTAAATTTTACAACAATTTTGGCCTGAAGCAAACTGCACATTTTCCCCAACACAAATCAGCTGCATTTAATTCCCCAGACAGCTGGCATGAACACAGCCTCTCCACAGGACACCTGAATTACGAAATTAGCACATTCAGAACTCTAAATCACATTCCATTACATTAAGCCCTAAGGTCCAACATTACAGAGAAGGAGAATAAATTGCAGAACTTCTCCTGAATTAACCCTCTTAGCACACTCTCAAAGTTAAATTGCCCTTTCCTCCCCTTTAAAGAGACATAGAAACTTAAACACTCCCTCCTGCCCTTTCTTATCTATTTCTCTCTTGCCAAGTGGCACAGTTTATGGGACATAAATTGAACATCTTGTCAGAAACTCACATTTGTAAATTAGCCCATCACTATCAGTTTTGACTCGCTTAGGAAATTCACAAGTTAATGTTTGTGCCTGGTCCTTCAGACAACACTGACCAATCTACTTCTCTTTTGCAGAGCACTTTATTGCATTACAATGGCACTCCTGGTTAAAAGAATCCCATAGCAATTGGGTTTTCTTTTGTGCAAGTTGCTGCCAACAAAGCAGTAATTCCTGGGAGAAGTGATGCAAGTTTGAGAGACTTTTACTTGCAGCTGTACAGCACTGACCTGATCTGATTAATACAAATTTCCCATTCTTGCTATGTTATGATTATGCTATCATTCTGTTGCAATTAGTATGAATTAAAGACCAGTGTTTCACAAGCTCAGTTTTTAAGCCAATATATGTGGACAATTAAAAAGATAATGAAATATTAACAGCAGGCCTTCAAGGAGGAAGAATACATTCAGAAAAAAAAAGAAAAGGCAGTTGTGCTTTTGAACTAGCAAAGTATTATATTTGAAAAAAAAATAGTTTCCAAGTTTTAGAGATTCTATTTAACATTAACTGCTGAATACCAGTGCAAAGCTAAAGTATCTCAAACAGCTATAAAAATGTGTGTATTTCCTCTACACATGCATTCCAGTGCATCTCCTCACAGCATCTCCTGGCCAGTTCTGCACATCTGGGGTAGCCAAGCTGCATTCAAGGTCTCAATGCATTCATAAGTTTGAATGTGCCTTGAGCTGAAAGTGTAATCAAGATTCTCTGGTGTTTACAGGGAAGTTCCATCATTTATCCATTCCTTGCTTCCAATGACCTCATTTTGCAGTTTGATAAGAAAGGGACTGAGTTGAATCATTACTGGCACACCCAGTACTTGTTACTTGGAACTCCCTCACATCAAAACAGTAGCAATATCTGCATGGAAATGTGTCTGTGCTCTTGAATCTGCTCTCTTCCACTTCTATTGCACTGAGTTTCCATTCATGCTTTGTCACACAGAAGATAATTTTTTCAATGGCGACATTCATTATTTATCTGAAATGACTTCTGCTGTGCTAGCTCTCGCCAGTCAGTGTTGTCCCTGCTCTGAAGCAAGATAAAGCTATGCATTGCCATTGAACTTGTTCAACTTCCTTAATTAAACCAATTATTTCTGAGGACTTTTTACTACACTTACATAGAATGCATCTTTACCTCTTATTTCTTGTTACAGATATTGAATTACTATTATATGGGTTGACAGAAATCCATGACAGCTATGACAACGGGTGCCATACCTTGAAGGAAGTTTCGTTGCTTGGAGTTGCTTGGAGAATAAGCAATGACCCAGTATTTAGCACCAAAGCCTTCCAACTTTGCAAAAGATATTTTATAAACAACCTGTGTACTTTAAATTCTGTTTTAAATAGTAGATGTAAAGCTTGTGATAAACAGACTGAAACAAATCAGTTATGCTAAGAAAAACCCCTGGCAGCTAAGATGGGAATTTTGATCTTTTATAAGATTGGTAAGGGACTTGCAACATATTAGTGGAGTAATTTGTTTAAAGATGTCTGATTGAGGAACCAGCCCTCATGTGAATACAGCCTAGAGAGACTCCTGCTTAGGCTATGAGTTATGCAGGGGGTCTGCCAGGCCCCTTGTCTTGCACTAGTTCAAGAGGGGGAGGTGTCAAGCTCTAGAAATCAGTTTGATGACACAGAAACTTTTGCAGCTAGGCAGCAGGTGCATAGAGGCCCGCTGAACTTCAAAAGCAGATAAAACAGGATGTATAGACACAGCCATTTAGCACTCAGAAAGCAATCACATAAAGGAAGAGGACAGCCACAAAGGTTCATATATCTCACATACCTGAGGAAAAGTAAAAGATCCGTGGCAGTTTCTACGTTGTTTGTTGGGAATGCAACATGAAGGGCTCAGAAGAGGCATTGCTTTACTTGAGGGTCTTATGTTGCCTTTTGTAGCAGGGACTGTGGCCAAGCCGTATCTGCGCTTCTACCTGCTAAGAAAACCAGATGAATTTTTTCAGGCTCACACCACATTGTAAGCAAGGGGTAGGTAATGCATGCACAAACTTTGCATGAAGAGGTTAAAAAAAAATCATCTCCAATATCAATAAATCCTATTGTAGCAGAGAAGAAGAAAGAAATATGGTAAAACAGTTGCATGAGGAAGGCAGGCATCTCTTCTGCCAGTCCATCATCCCCAGTGATGCTTAAGGAAAATGGGTACTGAGTATTAGTTTTTAGAATAGAGGAATTAGACCATGTTGTTATTTGGGCTGTGTTTTTTTCAGTGAAAACTAAAGGCATGGAATAACTAGTGAAAACAGACTTAGTTTAAAATGTGCATTGTTGGGTATTCCAAGAAAGGATTCATAGAATCCAAAGAACTTAATGAAAAATAATAACCACCACAGAGAACAATTTGCAATAAGTGAAACAAAGAGAAAATAATGAAAGCAAACTGGATTCAGTCTAATCTACTGAAACTCAACTCTTAGCTGACTGAGTACATGATAATGGAAATAATTAAAATTACTGATTGTATGTGGGACAAGAAAATAGCAATAAAGAGTCCTGAGCAGAAGAATGGGAGGAACAGATGTTTTTGCTAATATTGTGTGTTAGGCTTAGTGAGGGTACAAAAGTGGCAGCATATTTGAATATAAATAAAATATCTATCGTAAGCAGTGTTTCCAGTTCTTTCCATGGCTTTTGCTATCCTGTTAGTCAATTTTGTGAGAAATTTGCCCTTGGGCATACTTTTTGCCTTCTCTGTCACAATGCATCGATTATACTTCATGCTGTACAGTGACACTGGCTTGTGACATTGTTTTATGCCATATTCTGTTATTATTTATAAAAAAAATCCTATAAAACATGTTTTAGAGACAAAACAACTTTAACAAATTTAACCATGAGTTCTAATTCATAGTGAATGCTAATGTCTTATATTAGTCACTGCTAGGGACACTGTAGGAATATAGAATTCCAACATCTTTTCCCTCCACCCTGCACAATTCAATCATTGTATCTTCTAAGTCCATGGTGTGTGTCAGCTCATGCTCAAGAAGCCAGCAATGACAGAGAATTGAGATGCGCTTCCTTTTTGCATTCTTTATCAGCCTTGCTTAGGAGATTGAATATTCTTTACTGCAGTCCAGTAGCTGTGAAAACACAATTGAGTATTCAGTAAGCATCTAGCTAACGCTATTTATGAAAAAATAATTCAAAGAATGACTACAAGAGGACAGTGTTCAGCAGGAAGACTAAGAGTCAGAAAGCTTGGGTTGTGTGATTCTGCTATCTGCTGTTCTACTCATACCTTCTTCTGTATTAAGTTTCTGACACCGGGATAAGTATGAGGGAAATTACTCTGAAGATATATGTTGTGACAGATCATTATTGCCATCGGTATATGTCTTAGGAACACTGCAAACCAACTCTTGCCAGTTGAAGCATTTTTTATCGCTACGAGATGACTTTGCACTCTATCTCTTATTCTTCTATATTTGGAGGGAAAAGTACTTTCTTACTTTTAAAATACAACTGAATAAGGTATTGATAAAAGTATTACCTAAACTATGCCTCTCTACTCTGGGGAAAACATGGGTGAATTAGTTTATCAGAATATAGATCATGGTTTTCTAAGAACAGCATTTACATGGAAACTGTTAATGGGAAAACTTACCCATTCAAAAGTATACATCCCATCCTCTGCAATCTAGAAAGCTTGAGGGATGTCCCTTTCTCTCCAGAGAAAGGCAGACTTGCTGGGGATGTGATCTTAACTGGTCTCTAATTGGGTAACATAGATCCCTAACATTAATAAATAGCAGCAAAGAGCCATGATGATGATTGATGGATGGGGGCATCTGCTATATGAAGAAACACTGTGAGCTGGGACTATTCAGCCTGCATGAGAGGCAGCACAGGGGGATCTAACCAATGTGTATGAATATCTGATGGAGAGAGTTAAAAAGTTGCAGCCACTCTTCCCAGTGGTGCCCAGTGTAAGACAAGAGGCTATCTGCATGAACTGAAATAACAGAAATTCCATTTGAAGATAAGAAAAACAGCTTTTTCCTTGTACAGGTGATCAAATGTAGGAACAGGGCATTAGGAGTCTCCAGCCTTGCAGATATTTAAAATCTAACCTACCATGCCCTGAGCAACCTGCTCTAGTCTGAGCCTGCTTTAGGAAGGTATTTGCACTAGGTGATCTCTAGAGGTCCCTGCCCACCTCAACTATTCTGTGATCCAGAGGCCAGAATTTATCATGCATTTTTTTAAACTCCCAGAAATTTCCCAGGCTGAAAACAAAAATCAGACTTATTGCAGCTGTAAACTTTTGTGATACTTGATCTTTACCCTGATCAGGTCCTCAAGTTCATAACGAGACATGCAGACAGCACATTAATATCCTTTCCTTAGAGATAATAGCATCTCCTAAAAGAAAAATATTACCAAATACTGCTTGGGGATAGTAACTGTATTCAGTGAAGATATACACAAAATGTGGATGAAGATGATGAATTTTGCTGACAATACATAAAGAGATGTATTGCCTTTTCAATTAAACAGGGAAAAAATCCACAATAATTCATTCTTCCTTAGCCAGAGAACTCATGAGCTGTCTTGAAGGAAGATCTTGAAGGATCTGTTGTGATCTGCTCAGACATAGAATGGAAAGTTTCTTCATTCACACAAAGCAAGAAGGGATGAGAGTGAGAGAGAGACTGAAAGACAAGGTGTCAAATCCTACAAAATTTGCTATCACAAGAACACGAGATAACTGAACAGTCTGAAACATGACACCCTAATGTGTCAGCTTCTATGGGATGTGTTACAGACTCAGCTTGCAGAAGGCTGTGTATCCTGTTATTTTTAAATAACTGCAACAGTAGCAGCAAGGCTAATTCATCACATTTACATAAGGCATCAACAGAGAGCAATGGTGCTGGGAAGATGATTATGTTAGTCTGGAGTAGTCAGAAAGCAACTGTTTGGGGGTGCAGTGGCCATGCTGCGTGCAAGACCATACAGATTCCCTGGCGTGATCAAACATAAATGATCCCTTGTTTGGGAACCTGACCTTGGGCAGCACCTAGCTGTACCAGATAGGGTCAAGATCTGCAAATAAACTAGTTTTGCTCTGTTTTTGCAAAATAACCTAAGGTCTTCAGATAAGATTGATGTATTCGCCTAAGTTGAGAATCAGTATGAGGATATTCTTTAACACAGTATTGACGCTTGACCCTAGCTGTCTCCTTTGTACTGTGCCATCAGTGCCAAGAGAATGAAGAGTTATTTCAGCAGGTCAGCTGGAGATTTCTTTGATGTAGGCAGAGTTATGCCACCCACAGTCATTGGGAATATCGCAATGTGTGCCCAAAAGAAAGGCTCTGGGAAGGTGCAGCATGAATTGTGATGGTATAGCACAGCAGGTTCAGAACGATCTCTCCCATGCAGCACACTTTAAAATATCCCTTAACTTCCCTGTGTGTTCTAGGGATCATCTTCGAAGAGAGGATTTTGGGGAAAGTCAGCATTAAGCTCACTTTTTTCCTTTTTTTCACCATGCACTTAATATATTGTGGCTAGATCATAATGTCATCCATTCACATGAGCTTTCTATGCAGGTACTGTATATTAAGATACTTAATGAACAATTCTAATTCTATTGTTAGAAAATTTAGAGTACCCCAGATGTCTAAAGATGTCATATACATAATTTGATAACATGTTTAGATGGAATAATATTCTCTTGTTTTATGAAGATAAAAATGAACAGGTCCTTCATGATTGCTCTTTAACACAATGTATGATTCTACCTTAGCTACAGGAAACACTGGAAACAGCTAGTGTTAAAAATCTTTTGTACCAGCTTTTTTGTTAAACTTTAAGACAGGAGCCCTGCTCTTTCTTTTTCAACAAATGAGTCTCATAAGACTATTGGGTAAAGCAGTTCAACCAGAATGATGTAACATCCAGGATGTTTCCAGGCATAAGTTCAATATGACTACATTGTTCCTTATTTATAAATATGTCACTTTTTACTGGCACAGCTTCACACATTCTTGATGAGAGCTGCTCTTTCCTTGGCAAAGCAACACAAATTCATTACATCACCATCACAAGATTTCAGTGAATAGAACCATCTTTCCATGACTCAAAGTTTTTACTCAGAGATAGAGCAGATCGAAGAGATAAAGCAAGGAAAAACTTCCCTGAAATATAGGAAACTAACTGCAAAAGACATAGATTTAGAAGGGAATAAGAAACGTATATTTTCTGTGGTGTGTTGTCTTATTTTGGAAAGAGTCAAAAATCTCTTGTGGGTTTGTCTCTGATCCCTTCAAATTATTTTGATGTATACTTGTATGCTTAAAATTATTTCTCCTCCCTTTTATTGTGCTGTCAAGTTAATGGATTCATGTGTCACTTTCTATTTTCATTACAATTTCTGTCAGGAGCATGAAAAACCCAAATGCCTTAGTAATTTGTAAACTACCACAATGTACTCTCTTTGGCTTGACCTTGTCATTATTGTATAACTTAATTGGCCAACTATTCCACTTCTTTTTCTTTTCATAGCCTTATTATAGTGGAAAATGAGAAGAGACTTGTCATTGACCAGTCAATCAAAAGTATACACCATTTAGAGATGAAAATAACAACCTCTCAATTAATTTCATAGAATTAACACTCATTATGATAAAAGTCTCCTGAGATAAAGATTGAGATCAGGACTAATAAGCAGACGTTTAGCCATTCCTCTGACAAAGCCTGTAATAAAATTAGGAAATGGAGCAGTTTAATTGAATCACAAAATTGCAGTTCCATAGTTTCCCCCTCAGACTAGAAGATATTTAAGAGACCCTCATTTTTCTCTGTACAAAGAATCATAGCACATCTCATTTTTGGTAGTTCTGTTGGCTGAAGTATAGATTTGGCTGTAATTTCAAAAATGTCTTTCTCAAGATACCTGATGACATTTTCACATTTTGGACTACCTCACTGATGGGAAGCATAATCATTTCACTATTATGTTGTTATTTCGTGCAATGGTTTTAGTTATCCTCACACAGTTTCTGTCTTTGGATGGGGTAATTTTAAACTTAGTAAGGAAAGGATAGTCTTTTTTTTCCTTTTTTTAACAAGTGCCCCCAGGGTTTGCAACAAGATACTCCATGCTCTATTACAACAGTAACAATAAGAAAAATAAAATAATTAATAGATATGACATAAACCCGTGCTCCAGAACTTGCCATAAATCAGTGAGGTCTGGGAGGGGGAAAGCCACTGGGGAAGGCTGCCTTATTATTACTATGGAAGTATCAGAAACTAATAATTTAGTACCCGATTTAAGGTAACACAGGTTTCAAAATGAAAAACTCTTAAAGACAAACTTTTTATTTCTGTGAAAAGGAGCACTGTTATCAAAGAATCAGTGATTATGACAAGAAAGTATAGTCAAATATAATTATGAATATTTGTTGGTCCGGTATTCTGGACAAATGCTTATGATTAAATATTCTATTTGAAACTAATAGTTAAAATTGATTAAACATTATTATCATTCAATTAATTTTTTCCCTCGTAACTTTACTTGAGACAGCTTTCTCTCCTACCTTGTAAAAAAACTGATGCTTCCCAAGATACTCACCAACACTTCACCTACTATTCTTTGGTCTTCACAGGCTACCTCTGCAGAAAGTCACAAGCAGAAGAGAGAAAATGGATGCAGTTGTGACAGCAAGTCAGCTGACCATGCCAATTGCCTGATGGATACCAGATTAGAGCACCCAGGGTAGGGAAACAGTGATCAGGTAGGAATTACCTTTTTTCCCCTTCTTTTTGATCTCAGGTCAAAGAGCACAGATTTGAAATGAGAGCATGGCCTTTGGAAAATAAGCAACCTAAACCTTTCTGTCATACACTACAATAGTTTAAGATTACTAGGTTCCACATTATTCTTTCTCACTCGAACAAATCAATTTACTGCTTGACAAATAAGCACATAATACAAAATGCCAACTTACAGATTGGTATCCTTAAAGAGAGAGCATGGTTTTATTGGCAAAGGACTGTATTTCGCCTACATTGCAGATCTCAGGGCAGAAAGCTTTGTTTATACAGGATATGTGACCAATTATATCTGGTA